GCTTTGTAGTAACAGCAGGTCAACTTATGGCTTTGGGAAAAAGAAAAAAGATTGTTTTCATGGATTCATGACAAAACGCTTATAACACATTGAGTTAATTCTTACTATTGTGCTTACAAGCTGGTTTAACAGGCGTAGGTAAGTAAGTAAGTAAGTAACTAATAAACAGCTTCCTTTTAGCCTAATCATAATTGTTATTTTGACACTGGAAAGTCAGCACTGTCTTGAAGTATAACTCAATGCTAGACAACTTGATATACCTTCTAGAAGATTCGCATAGTTTGAGATCTAATTTTCAAAGCTTTAGGGTTTCCAACTATCTTGTTTTAAAAACACTAGGATTTGCAGTTTAGACATAACAAGTTCTAATCTTTATCTAATATTATTAATCAAGTAATCCAACTTTATCAAGTGTGATTTTGAACAATTGGATTCTGAATGTTGATTCATTTCAATTGGGATCATTATAACGGTACATCATTCACAGTCATCAGTCTATGCACTTCATACAGTGATACCTATATATGCGTAGATTTGTTTGCTTTGTAGTAACAGCAGGTCAACTTATGGCTTTGGGAAAAAGAAAAAAGATTGTTTTCATGGATTCATGACAAAACGCTTATAACACATTGAGTTAATTCTTACTATTGTGCTTACAAGCTGGTTTACCTTTACATTCTCTCTTACGTCTTTTTTTGAACCCTTAATAAAATCTCAACGTGAAGGTACTTTCAAGTTTGAATCTTTCAGAAATTCAATGGTAATGGTGTGGTGTGTGCTACTTATGTCGACATAAATAGTATATGATGTTAGTCGTGAACAGAATGTCTGGCAGCAGAGAGACAAGAGGATCGAACAGTAAAGAATGAAAACAGAATACGATTTTTTTGAACATGCAAGGACAATGAAGTTTGAGTCATTTTGAGACAATTGATGGACATTTTGCAAATTAAGCACTTATTTTATGATTGTTCGATTTTATCAACAAGTCCTTTAATTTTTGTCCCCACTGGTATTCTTGTTCACTACAATGGGATCTGACGAGCTCAGCATCAGAACAACATTAGGTTCAAATTTGTTGCAAATACTTAACGAACTAGGTAAACTGAAACTATCTCTTAGTGTTAGCAAGATATAATGCATCCAGTTATTTAAATTTAGTTACAAGAGTACTTTAAACTTGTCGTTGGATATTTTATTTGTTTATTGACTTTTCTGTTTATAACTATTTATTCTCCTATGTTGAAAATATTCTTAAATACCTTTCTTCATACCTCATTAACAGTAGGTAGGTATTAGACTAAAACAAACGTTTGTTTCCAGCTTTAGGTTCTTTTTTATTCTACGAAAATCATAGTCATATAATCAAGATGTTTTAAATTGTGATAATAATGAATATTATGAATTATCATTGTCATTGTTATCAGTGATAAAGTCATTAATTTCTCTGATTTATACTTGGAATAATAAATTTAATTATATTGTTCCTATACATTTAAATCATCTTAGTGTACAAATGGAAACCCGGTGACTGTCGATTGTTACTTAACGAAGTCAATTGTCGTTAATTATTTCATGACTTTCATACGTTTTCTTGACTTATAAATTGTTAATTCATTTTTTGTATTGGTTGTTTGAATCTTCTCATTGATGTTTGGGACTGTAATTGATCAGTCACTTATTAGCATATGTACATCGTGTGCAGATTGTCTCGATATTACCTCAAGTCAAAAACATTATAAGCAGATATGGACAGTGGCTAGCAGTGGAATCCGTTTCTGCTTATAAGTTTTGTGACTTAAGACAATATAGATGCAGTTGTTCATTGGCAAGTAAAACATAATCATAAACGTTTAGTGGAATATTTCCATATGCTAATAATAGCTTTTATTTGTCCTAACATATAGACACATACTCACTCAGTTAGTTACTAATTTTATGTTTGAAATGAATTTCTGAATTAATCTCATGAGAACACTTTCAATGACAGTTTGGAACATCATAAAAATCATCAATATTTTTCTTTAATAATATAGTTCTATATTAACAGATATTCAAGTCTTTTGCATATGTTCAAATTTTAATCAGTACTAAGCTCACCACACAAATCTATGTCTCACGTTCATACATACTCTGTATTGAATACCTGTAAAATAACATTGAAGGTTTCAAGTGTAAATTCCATGTTTCGTTTTATATAGAATTCTTCAATGCGAAAGTAAAAACAACCGTAACGAAATAGTTAAACATATTTAACTGATCTTACTTCTCGAAGAACTTGTAAGTTAAATTAGAAAACTAGTTCAAAACAATTATCAGAAAGATGATGATACTTAACGATAAATTCGGTCATTTCAACTGACTGATAGACAAATTTATAGCGTTGTGACAAATAATGAACAGTAATCTCCTAGATGTAAAAACAACTGACTGACTTACATACTCACCCTGATTGTTTACATATACGATGAACATCAAAGTTTAAGAGAATAATTACAAAAGCAAGTGTTTTGAATCCTTCCGAATATGTGCGATCAGAAAACACAGCCAGTCAGTTCCTTAATCATAATAAAGGTAGAGTCCGACACAAATAAATCTTAACCCAAACTTCCATACTTCATTTGCACTACAAGATGAAATAATTCTGTAACACTGGTAATAAGAAGGATAGGACATTAGCAACATGGTTCAAGAATAAAGTATGAAAAGGTATTTTTGAGGAATAGCAAAAATTTGAGGCAATTGAAGTAGATCTGTACAACTGAGAATAATTCTAATCAATGCCATATAAAGTCCCGAACCACTGATCGCCGTTAGCAGGCGGATCACAAAATGGTTATTCATTCACTTAAATATTCAGTATACCAGTTGAAAAACAAGATTTCTTTAATACTGTTATGCAGATCTATGCTAATTCTATTTGGTTAAATGTTAAGAACACCTACATTAACCTTTTGAAATGACATTTACTCGGATTTTGTTAACTTTTTGTAAACTGTATGGTTTAGATGGTTTCGGTTTGTGGCTATCACTCTGCAGATATTCATTTATTTTCATCGAAAAGTTTTTTTTAAGTAAAATAACACAACTCTTTTTAGGAACTTATCTTCAAAATTAAATCGGTCTCATCATGTTGCAGTACACCGACGACGTAGTTCTTTTAAGTGAAAATAGTGACATTGCAATAAAGCTACTGAATATATATTAAATTACATTGCAAAAGTATTTTGAAGACGTTTATTAAAGACTGGTCTTCATCAGTCCCTGATTTTAGAAAGTAGTCTATCTTTCATTCAAGTAGTTTCAACATCTTAAATGTACTAATATCCGTCAATACCCCAGCATATACAGTGCTTGCATAAAGTTTTTTTCACACTTCATCTATACTACAGGACTCAGAGGAACACTTAAGATGGGCTAATTAAAACCCATTCTGACAATAATCAACTGCTCACTAGTGACTGACTTCAAGAGATACTCCTGGAGTTCTAGTGAGAAGCCGTTACCAGTGGAGTACAACCAGGTCTGTTGTGAGATATTTGCTCACTGAAGACAATGGTGTACGGTGGCACAACGTCGTGGATTGGTTGAAGTTAGACATTAACACCGTTGGATGCAGTGGTCTAGTGGTTAAGTTCTCGCTCGCGAAACCTGTAGGTCCTGGGTTCGAATCTCGCGGGGGGCGGGGTCATGGATGCACATTGCTGAGGAGTCCCATACTGGGACGAAACGGCCGTCCAGTACTTCCAGGTTTTCCATGGTGGTCTAGCTTCAATTGGCTCATGATTTGAACTGGTGAAATTTCTAACAATCACCACAAAACCCATTCTGATAATTAAAATGAGACAAGCACTAGATGTAAACAAAAAACTACGAACCTCTTACACAAAATAAATGTCAAATAAATATCACACAACACGACCTATTATTTCTATAGACATCTAACTCAGAAATAATTATAATTATCTTCCAAAAGAGTCAAACTTCAATGTGATTTTAAAGAAACCAAAAGTTTAAGTAGCACTTCACATCTTTTAACTTTTATCTCAATCAATGAAATTTAAATATATGTATGTCAGACAAATAGTAAAAGATACAGCTTTCTGATTTCTCTCTTGAAAATTAAATTTCCTTCTAATAGTGTAGAAAATCATGGATAAACGCTGGCTGATTAGAAGAAACACTTGCTCTTACAGCAAATATGTTTCAAGATCTTTATGAGTACATTGTAAAAGAACTCAACTCGAACACATGGCAGTAAACTATAAAATAGATATTAAGGCTATAGTTAAATCTCGTAACTTAGAGAACAATGTCTGGAATAATTAATTCAAATTTATTTTCCTTACCTTAAGCATCCTCAAGAAGTATAATTATTATTTGTTTTTATGTATTTAATTAATTCCCCTCAGTTAAAACTGGAAAGAAGTCTTTAACTTAACATATAGGATGACGATATTTTCATACTTTAAAATTCTTCCTTTCACTTGACTATGTGGTATAAAACTTCACAAATGAAATTATACAAAGACTTTGTTTAAATTCAGCTTTTATTTTGATTAATTGAATAAGATCAGATGAAAAACTGTACACCATTAAATTGAATACCATGACGACTTAAATAATTTTTTTTTCTTGTCAACATTAATTGCTAATCGATATCACAATAAGCACTACACAGAAAACAACTAAAATGAATTGCTTTGATTATCATCCATTACTTAATTACATTACAGATTAATCAAAATATAGAAGTATGACAATGAAAACTATGAATACAGTTTTGAATAGAATATTATCGAAAATAAAATTCTGTTAAAACATTGAATAGTTGACTCAAATGTAGGTTATATATATATATATATATATATATATATATATATATATATATATATATATATATATATATATATATGTCAACTGTTTGAAATGGCTTCCCTAATCGATTGTATGGAATAAATGAAAATTTGTTACATTTTTTCTGAATATACAAATAATCATTAATTACTCCATATTTTTCTATCTGCACGATGAATTTTTGCCAGAATCTTTTTCCACTGTATGGGTAATTTATCATAACAATCTTTACATACTGGTTTCAAATCGATTTCATAAAGTTTGGATCTAAATAAATATGAAATAAAATATTCATTTTTAATAAATTTGTGCACGACTTAATCATCAACTGTAAGTCCTCATACAGGTTTATAACTCTCGTTTGGTCCTAGTTATTAGGTGAATACTCTCAAGGTCACTTTAACATCGCCTAAAGGTAGTCCATAAACTGTAGTCTTACCTAATATTTTATGTAATTTTAAAGTTTAAGATGTTCTGTCTAAAAGTAACTCTCAATTATAAATTAATGGCGACCAATCAGACCAAAATTTTACTTCAGTATAATTGGATTCTGCGAATGTTAACTAGAATAGAGATTTTTTAGCCTATGACCTACAAAGTTTAATGGCATATAATAAATTTGTTAGATTAATTCACTTCAAATTTCATTTAAATATACTAAATAATTGGTCAGTCTAATGTATATTGGCAATTATCAATCAATGAATGAGTAAAAAATTTCATCATCAAAGTAATTGTATTTGTCTCAAAATTTAAAAGTATGAACAAATATCTGCATTTGTTAAGTTGTTTCTTTTGAGCTAAAATATCCCCTGGTGATTTTGAAAAATACGAAAAACTAGTTACCAGTTATCACGTATAAGAAGTCCTCTTGTAGCTCTTCTTGGGTTACTGACGGTTCCAAGACTGGGTAAAGGAGGAGGGTTAGGTAACGGGTCGACAATCCTATCCCGTAGAAAACAACTTAGCTAAAAAAACGCTGACCAGAATAAACAAATTAAACCATTTAAACTCTGCACTGGGAGTTGAAGGAAGAATTATGACACCTCATGATGAAAGCCGATATTTTTCGAAAGTCACTAGGTTGATACTTCTTCCAAACACCAAAGAAACCATTTTTATAGGTATCTAGAATTTCCGAACAATATGGGAGAACAAAAGGACCAGTCAAACAGCAACGGGAACAAGGAAATACAACTTGTTGTTGCTCGGAATCACTAAAACTCATTGAACGTAAGCTGAATAGAAAAGGATAGATTCTGGAGAGATGTGGTTGTACACTGGTCACGAATAATAAAATACTCCACACACAGGGAGTTGCTCTGATGCTGTCCAAAGAAGCACGTAAAGCACGTACAGGATGGGAATCTCATGGATCGGGATCACCAATGCGTCATTCAAAAGAAAGAAGGAGGGAATCTCAATAGATGTTATCCAATATTATGCGCCCAACAATTGTAACAACGAAGATGATTCAGGTCAGTTTTACGAGAGGTTGCAATTAATCATTCAGAAATGCTCAGGAAAGTACCTAACCATCCACATGGGAGATCTAGACGCCAAGATCGAAATGCACAACAACGGTTTTGAAGATACTATGGGACGAGGTCTACACAACAAAGAGGAGACTACTATAAAAGACAACCGGAAGAGGGATTAAAAAGCATTAGCTTCAAAGTGTCGGGAGATACTGGGCTGCAACAATCATAATCATGAAGTTGGGCCTCTATCAAAACCCTGGATACGATTCAAGAATGGAAGAACAAGAAGATAGTAATTAACAACGGCTGAACAAGAACAAAGAAAGTCAAGGCACAAGCTGAATACTCAGAAGCGAACAAGCGAGTAAACAGGAGTATCATGGCTGACAAGCAGATATACATGGAAGAACCAGCGACGACTGTGATAAAAGCTGGGAAAAGATGGGAAAATCAGACAACTGTAATACACAACGAAGAAAATGGGAAATATAGTAAACCAGAGAAATCAGTCAAGGATGAAAACGTCAAGACAATCACTGAGATTCAATAACAGAGGAACTGTTGAACAGACCAGCTCCATTGAATCCATCAGATATCGAAGCAGCAACTACAGCCCTTTTATAGACGTCACTCCATCAAAGATCGAAAAAATCAGGATGGCCATCACACAAATGAAGATTGGGAAAGCAGCAGAATAAGACAACATACCAGCTGAAGCACTAAAGTCAGAGATAGAAGCAACTGCAAACATGCTCCACTTTCAGGAAGATTTGGGAGGAGGAACAAGTGCCACAGACAGACTGTAAGGAAGGACACCTAATCAAGATACCAAAGAAACGAAATATGAGCAAATATCTAAACTACCCATACAACATACTACTGTTAGTAGAAGAAAAAGTTCAAGACAGAATGTTGTTGAACCGGATGAAGGACTCAATTGACACCCTACTTTGAGTTCAGGAGACTGGATTCTTTAGGCATCGGTCGTGCACAGACCGAAACGCGATACTTCGGACCGTAGTTAAAACATTATTTGAATATAATTGGTCACTGTACATCAACCTCTTTGATTATGAATAAGCATTGCATAGTGAGGATAGGAGAACATTACGGAACATTTCTCGACACTATCGTGTACCTGGAAAAATTGTGAACACCATGCTGAATTCATACGACGGACTACGGCGCAAAGTCGTTTATGGAGGACGGCTGACAATGCATTCCAAATGAGAACGGGTGTCAAACAGGACTACTTACTCTCACCCACCCTCCTTCTTCTGGTGGTTGACTGGTTTATGAAGACCTCTACATCTGACTGGAAGCACAGAATACGATGAGCAGATTGGATCTAGATCTTCTGTCCGATACAAAGAAACAAATGCAGGTGAAGACAGCCAGTGTAGCGGCAGCAGCCTCTGCAACAGTACGACTCAACGTACACAAGGGAAAAAGCAACATCCTCAATTACAACAAAGAGAACATCATTTCATTCACCCTTAATGGAGAAACTCTGGAAGAGGTGGAATGCTTCACGTATCTGAACAGCATCATCAATGAACGAGGAGGAATTGATGCAGACGTAAATACAAGGATTGGAAAAGCAAATGCAGCATTCCTACAATTGAAGAACATATGGAACTCAAAACAACTGTCAACCAACACCAAAGTAAGAATCTTCAATTTGAATTTCAAAAAAATGTTCGACTGTACAGAGATGAAAGTTGTATAACTACCACAATCATTGTCAAACAGTTGTCTACGTATGATACTCAATGACTTTTGGTTGGATACCATCATCCTTATCCTGCTATGAAAGAGAACTAACCCGGTTCCAGCTGATGAGGAAATTAGGAAAAGACGTCAAAAGTGGATGGGACAAACATTACGGAAATCACGAAACTGCATCATGATGCAATCATTAACTTGTAATCTTGAAGGGAAACGGAAAATTGGATGAATAAAATAAACACTACGACGAGAATGTGAAGCAGATATCAAAAGAATGAAAATTAACTGGGATCATTTGAAAGGAGAGCCGAGGACAGAATTGGTTTGAGAAGCCTGGCAGGTGGTCAATGCTCCTCCATGGGTAGTAACAAGCGCAATGAAGAAAACAATCTTGTCTTAGATTCCTAAAAAGCGCTTCTTGTTTCTACCGAGATTTACAGTTTATAAATAAAAATGTTCGCCACTGTAGTCGTGTCATTGGCTTCGTCTGCACATCACAGAGGGCTGGATGATTAAGCATCTACACATAATGTTATCAAGACACATGAATACATTTTATACCAAATGTCGAACTCAAATTAAACTTATCAATTTATGTGAATAGAATTTTAGATCAGATTGACTGGTGAAACTCTAGAACTAGTTTACTGAGCTAACTGACGGTTTTTATTTTATTATTGTTGTCTTCCACATACTCACATCCCAGTAACTGTTAGACTAGTCAATAAAGTGCCAACAAATATCCATTTACATTTGACAAAGTCTAGTTTTAACCAGATGTTTAATTTTTGATTTAATTTACGTTTTCCATAAGTAATTAATAAATGAAGTTATAGTTGGTAAGTGATAACACTGACTGACCTTAGACAATCATCTAAAATCAGGAAGCAAGAGACGAATATTTGTTTTTAGTATGGGATTCCTCAACAGTGCTCATTTACGACCATACCAGAAAAAGAACCCATAGTTTTAATTCTTGTAGTGAGTGTATTACTTCAGGATACTGAACTGGCAGTCAGTGGTTAATATATCCATCTTCAATCAGCTTGTCGTTTTGCTATTATACTTATTATCATTGATAAGTGTCTCACACCTAACATTTTGGAAATCTATTGGTCATAGCTCCTCACGAGAACTGCCGAAATAGGCTTTGGAAATCGAAGTTATATTCTTATACTAAAGGCAGAATAACGTTTAACGGCCAGGTGAAACAGTATGGCCATAAAAGAAAATAATCTTTATTCAATCTACTTATTACATTATTAAGTAGAATTATGATTGTTGGAAAGCAATATCATATAAGCACAATTCAATTTATTTCAAGCTCATTAGTTTAAAGGGTTTAATCTTCTTAGGTTATCAGTTATTTGAAAAGATCTTTAAAATAAAGAAATCAAATGATCCACTTACTTTTCATCTAATTTTCTGTCACATAGTGAACAAAGAAAGTGTTCAGGGCAATAAATTTTATTAGTAAATTTAACCAATATACCAGTAACTGGTTTCGCACATATATGACAGACACTTCCAATTCTAGATTGATAATGTATTAGGCAGTAGGCGTGTCCTTGCCACTCATAAAACCTACTACCCATAAATGGTATTTCACAGTGATGACATACAAAATGTTCAACATGCCAAACTTTACCAAGTGCCCAAACTATACGACCCTCAATCGGACGTCTAAATTAAAGAAACAGAGTGAAGAAAAGTAACTAAATGTAACTGACACAATGTGTTTTCACAACTAAACATTCTTAGTGAAATCTAAAGCATATCATTCCATGAATTTCACAAACCGTATCAATTAATTAACAAATATCCGTGTTGGGAGAAGCACTTAGTGACTTTGAATTTATGCGTTCATTTATATACCAAGTATTCAAAGTATGAAGTACTATTACTCAAAGATAAGAATTCAGCTTAAGAACCGATTACTAATCCTTCATTTCTGAATATTAACCGTAGTTATATTCTGTTAAACAGTCATAAATAGGAAAAAAAGTGTCTTTTTCGCAATCCTGTTACGTGCTAGTACTACACACAGTAGTAGATGTTTGATAATAAAATTGAGCTTATCATGTGTTCAAAACGTAAAATGTCAATGATAACATAAAACATGCAATCGTCAGTGATCTAATTTTCCAACCAATTACATAAGCACATAGAGGTGTGAGTTAAGGGAGAAAAAATCTAGTGTTTTGACGATCCCCATAGGTATCAGTTACTCAAAATAACGTAATAGTTATTCAGAACAATGAAAATATTTACATTTTATGCTGGAGACTTTTAAACACTACTACATAAAATCCGTTGTATAGTTATCCTTCTTAAGTTCTTGATAACTGCATTGATTCAAATATTAAGGAAGTATAAAACATATTCACTGTTTCATTTTTCCCGATCTAAGCCTAAACTATGTTATGCTATCAAGTCATTTGGTAGAAAGACAACTACTTCAATGTGTTAGCGTTAAGTTTTAAAAGTAATGTCAACGTTCATTTTCCTGAAAAACAACAGTTTGAAACAACATTTTTACAGATTGGTAAAAATGAGTGTAAATAGAAACGAAATTCTTGTCAAATCACATATCAATTTTGTTATGGAAATAAGGCTTCACTGTCTCAAAACCGTATTATATGATTAATAATTATCTGGATTACAAAACTGTCCATGGTTTACATGTGTCTAAACATAACAGAACATCTCTGTATCTGTTAATAACTTCGTTATCTAATAATACTTTTTGATTAACGTTCTATTTCATCTAAGTCGGTATTAAGGATCCAGAAAGAGATTTATTCGAAATCAATTAAATGAATCATGGAGTGTGGATTTTAAAATCTAAAACGTAATTGGAAAATTTATGTAACCTTTTATACTTTATTGTTTCATTCAATGTTAAAGAAAGATTTCTAATCCTACTTGTATTTTTATTAGCCAATAAGTAGCATAAAAATAATTAAAAGTTTTGTTCAACAGTTTATTCCTTCATTAATGCATGTTGCTAAACAGAGAGGGATTTTGTGGAGATTTTAGTAATTTAATAATTGAATTCATGAATCAATTGAAGCTAGACCACCATTGTAAACCTGAAAGTACTAGACGGCCATTTCATTCTAATATGGGATTCCTTAGCAGTGCGCATTCACAATAAGTCATTTTTAAATATGAACTAAATGAGTAAACGAATAAATCTGGAATCTTGTCTTCGTGTTTTATATATTCATTACAACACTGTCTAACGTTTTATTGGACTAATACAATATCGGTAATGACTGAGTATGATAAAATACAATATGTTTACAGTAGATTAAAATGTCCCTGAAATTAAATTTGAACTCCAGATCTACTATCATGTACTTTATCTCTAACCACTCACTTTTTGATTTGACAAAGCTACATTTTTCCTAACTGAATTATTCAAACTATACAAACCAGTAGGTCTTACATTGAGTTTTCTTCATATGAAATGTATCAGATTTTCGGAAAACCAATTAATCATTCATTGCGACTAAACTAAATATTTATTGTTTGGTCATATCAATAAAGAGTTGATCTAAACTTCTCTATTTTATATAAGGATGAAAATCATTTTTTTTACCAAACGATCAAAATTTATCAAACGGTCTAATTACTTCAATAGTCAATTGAATTTCGACACTTTCAGGATTTTCTTTTACTCACATGTAATTGTTATTACTGAAACTTGATAAGAACAAAATGTATCTGAAATTAATCTAATATTTAGAAAAAATTGCAACAGAAATTTATTTACCTGCATGCTGAGCATATTGATACACCAGAACGACTGAAACATTTAAGACAATATAATTCACCACCACGTTCATGTGCATCCAAACCAAGTTCTTGATCACAATCATAACAATGAAAATGATGTGGATGATGAAAATCACCCATAAATTTGATGTGTTTATTTAATTCAATTGGCTTATTACATGTTTGACATATATGATATCCAACTAATTCTTGACATATAACAGACCAACAATCTTTACACAGGATTCTATCAAGAATTCATTAAAATACACAATGGTTATTATATTAAAATATTGCAAAACGCAATCATTTATCAAGAAAACCGAACATTATAGGTATCTACTATTTATACAAAATAGGCTTTAAGACATTAAAATCATTCCAATCAGTAAAAAAATTAGATTTTCTGACGTTTAGTCATTTATTCTCTGAAGAAATGGTTTACACTAAGTCATGAAACGTCAGAAAATCTAATTTTTCTACTCTTTGGGATATTACAAGTATATTATTTTTATTCATAGTAATCCATTCAATGCTCAGTTTATTTGGAATTATCAAGTTAGACATTGGCAATGATACCTTACTGAAGTATTGTTCATAATTGTTATAATAAACGAGTTTAATAACGTGGAGAACGAGTCAGTTGCCAACTGCATCATCGAAAAATGATTAAAATTAGGTTTAAAGGAACACTGATGGATTTATATAAGATGTTTACATGACAAAATAGTTAGCTAAGTAGACTAAGTAAATGATTAAAAATGTTTTGAAAACGTGTTAACGACTAATATCTTCGGCGGGACTCTAATTTATGAACGAGCCAATCAGAGACGCTTTAGAGATTTCAAGGTTACGGCGCCAACTTCAGTGCTTAATGCTAACGTACGATAGGTTCACAGGGAATTTTGTACAAAACGTGATAATTGAGCGGCTATAACAAATAAAACGGCGGTGCTATAATTTGTGGATGAAACAATCAGGTATAAGATAATAGATCTCGGATTTTAACGCGAAAGCCTTTCATCCATTTGGCTAAATTAATTTCTGGCATTATAGCTGATGTCAGTTCGTGATGAAAAACCCCATATACAATTCCTAACTACGTCAAACCACGACAATTATTGCAAACTGGATAATAAAAGCACCAGTAACACTGGCTGCATCCAGGTACTATAATATATACGGATGTTTGGAGAGCGTACAGACTCCTACATAGACTTGGTTATGTGCATCGTGTCGTTATGCACAAGTGGCATTTTGTGCACTCAACAACCGGAGTGCACATTAACAATATTGAAACTATGTGGTCGGGGCTGAAAGAGCTTTTGAAACTTTATCATGGCTACAGAGGGCGACTATCCTGTAACCGTATGGATGATTTCCTGTACTGAATGCATTACGACTTTAGAACCTCTGAACCTATTTCTAACCTTGACAAGTTTTTTAACCACGTATGAGAAGTGTATCCACTTTATTTCCTTGGTTTTGTATAACATATTTTTACTCTATACTGACTGTTTGCTGATTGACTAATATTTCTCAAGTCATATAAGATTCGTTCAAAGGTCGTCCATAGATTAGAGTCTCGCCATATCTTCTTCCAAGTGATACATCTTTCAACTTACTGAATTAGCAGATTTAATCTTATCATATAAAAAAATGACCGATATGTTAATGTAAAAACAAAAACTGTCATCGATGAGATTTATTTACAACAAGCTAGTGAATTCTGTATAAAACAAAACCAGTGCTTTCAAAATTGATGATCACTAACGACTGAGGATGATCTTTATACCAGTAGATTTATGAATACAAGATAATAGGTTTCACAGACATCTTAATTGCAAGATTAGTCTAGTTTTCGAAGGTTGAATGAATTTCTATACTTAAAAGAATATTATTTTTGATAGCTAGGGTTGAAACTCAGTTGAACTACAGCTATTTCTTGCATATTCTTCATCATATATCCATGACAATTGAGGCAATATTCTATATGTTTATATATTATATCAGTCATTAAAAATCACATATAATATGTAACATATACTGCCACGATGAATTGAGGATTGATTCATAGAAGGCTACTTTGAAATTCGTTTCTCTACAATATTTTCAAGTAAGCATAATGCCGAAATATAAGAATAATCTTGAAATTATTAGAATTAAATGTAAATTATTGTTTATGAGTATTTTGAAATTAAACGATCCATTATATAGCGAGTACATGAATGTGTATTTCTTAGAACCTCTAAAATAGTAGTAAACAATTACAGAATATTAAGTAGCTTCAAATACTTATCTAAATAAAACTGATTTATCACGATAATTTCATGTTTGTATGAATGTATGCGTGTGAATGAGAACATTCTTCCTATTCACATGCTACATGACTCTAACATTTGGCTTTATCTCAAACTTAAAGTTATCATTCTCGTCAATCCATTTTTGTGGACCATGATTAGAATGAGATCCACTATGAGGTTATGGGCTATATTTACTCACAACTGTATTTTTCAAATTGCACTACTTTTATTTTCATTATCTTCTTACTGACAGCAATTTTATTTCAGTTGACATTCTGTATTGGTTTCAGAGATATTGATTTCCTTTCTTTAATCGACCAACTATGAGTTGATTCGATTAATTTATTTCTTAAAGATTGAATGACGCGTTTCGCTTTAAAGAAACATGCTTTTTTATGAGAAGCATTTGGTTCATATGTTAACTAGAAGAATTACTTTCAGGTATTTTTATATTTTATTTATTTTCTCATTTATATATACCTGCATTATTCTCGCTTTATTATGTTTTGATAAATTTGATGATAGGTGACTGTGATTAAGGAATTCAATTACACAAGACAATTGAAATTTTAAACATTCTAACCATTATAACACTAACTGTTTTATTATTTTTCAAAATATTTGAAATCGAATCCAACCACTTTTCGTAATTTCATATGTTAGTCATAAAAGATTATATTTCCTTTTCTTTCTTTTTTTTACACGACTACGAAACACTCTAAATTAAAAAAAACAAATATATTATTAATGTGTAACCTTAACCAATCCACGAAATTGCACGACTATCTTCCATTGTATTGAGATAGATACCTGTCTCTATTCAACACGGATTAACTCCACTAGTCACGGCTTCTCATTAGAACTCTGAGAATTCCTTCACGAAGCTAGACACTAATACCATTGAATGCCTGCCAGCTCAACTGTCTAGAGGTTTTAGCATTCGCGTGCAAGACTGAAGGCCTTGGCTTCGAATCTCGCGAGAGGGATCGTAGATGCGCACAATAGCACAAAATGGTCGTTCAATCAGCTCATGATCTCAATCAAAAACTTAATATTCTCTACAACCCGATATTGATATTGATAATATACATCGTATATTATGAAATCAATATCCGTCAATTATTAATCTTTCATTTTTATTATTACAGTAACAAAACTAGATGAAATGAAGTGAAACATTATATAAATATACAAATACATTTTGTTTTTGAAAAGCTTTCTGTGTTTCATTCAAACAAACTTTCTTTTTTTCTTTTATTGAAATATACACCATTTAAATAAACATTTATCATGGATTTCGATTAATTCTATCATGAAGTTGATAAATTTATCTAGTTTATACTAATAGTTTGGTATAAAAAAGAGTTGATTGAAGTCATTTTGTTGCTTTAATGAAATATATTGAAATGTTTACTTATACACTTAAAGGAATATTAATGTGTTTATATATGTATACTTAGTTAATGTATACAATTAAAGCTAAATGTACACATACATGATCATATAATGTACTTAAATGATAATAAAATCTAGTTCATAAATCAACAAAGAAATGGATTCATGTGACATTCAATAATTAATGAAAATATAATAATTCTGTTTATAACTTAAAAAGATTGCTTGAAAGAAACACTTTATAGTGTAGTAAGCCTATTCAGCTATCTTAGTTCACAGTTATATAATATACTCTTGTGGGTTAGGGTAATTTTACATTGGTTTTCAGGAGAACCAGACACCATCCGAACTTCCACGTGACAACCCAAACAGTACAGCTCAACCCCGTTTAGCAGGAGAATCAGACACCGTATAGGCTTTAACGCTACATTCTGAATAGTACGACTCAATCATGTGGCGCAATCACAAAGGTACCAAGCACCCTGGTGGACCATTCAACCAGTGTATTATTTATTTGCTCATTGTAATTTACACACTTAATCCACTATGTAAATTTCTGTGTGAGTTTGATTGAGCACATGAATGCACATCAATCTTTAATTTTTTCTCCCATTGGTTGTAATACACAGACAATCAATAATTTATCCGTACTTGATTAACACTCAAAATGATATATGGATTTTAAATACACACTCTTGGTTTCCCTGTGTGTTTGCTTCCTGTACGATTGCGGATTTTACTAACCTCCAACAATAAACTATCTCTATAACTGGTGTAGAGGCTTTTAAACAATCTTAAGTAATTCTATAATTCTACTAGGAGATTTATCCTGCATTAAATACTCAGTTAACGGGATACTATTTATTCGAGACAGATGTAGAGGAAACTGGCGTCTACAATAGTACCAATACGTTAATATTACATCTATTATGATATACTTAACGCTATGATTTGTCTTGAGATTTTTATGATAACAGATATACAATACATACCTCTGAAAGATATGAGTGATAAAATAAAAATCATTCACTTTAACAATCAGTATTGATTAACTGTATCAGAGTGTGAATACTGGACAGTAACTTGAGCGTGATCCCATTGATAATGTGATGATTGAGTTGAATAAGATTTATTTTATAGACGTGATGACAAGCGACATTATTAAGCACAAAATTTTGCAATCATCTTTTTTGAGCTAGCCATACTAAATTACAATCCCCAAGTTGTTAGTACGCCTTTCTAACCATGACCTTTGTACAAAACGTTGAGAAGTCCCATATTAAGGCAAAATGGTTGTCTAGTGTTATCTGGTTTCTGCTGGGTTATTTTCGATGAAGTATTTTATTTCATTTTCAGTTGTATTTTTATATCTCACTCGCCATACGATACCTACAGTTATTCTGATTATTCATTTAACAATTTTGTGTGAAGTTTAAACGTATGAAAGTTAACATAAAATACTAGTAATTTTAATATTACCAGTTTTATTAAGATCATGAAGCAATCAATGTTAGACCGTCATTCAAAACCTGAAAGCAGTAGACAGCCATTTTGCTTTAGTATGGGACTCCTCAGCAGTGCAAATTAACATTGTTGGATGTTGGCTTAGTGGTCTAGACGTTAGGCGTTGACGCGAGATAGAAAATCCTGGGTTTGAGTCTCACGAGCTGGATTGTGGATGCGCAACTCTATAAACATATAACTGTATAACCTGATGTACGTTTATTGTAAATAATGTTTATCTTTCGTATTCATCCATGTGTCAATGAGGGAGAATTAATTTGTGAATCATATTGAAAACATTTACCATTCCACTTGCCTTGTTTTATGTCTTTGAAATCCTTTGCTTACAATTTGAATACCACATTCATCACAGACTAAACATTCAGGATGCCAGCTTCGATTCATTGCTTTTACCACTTTTGACATGATAAATTCACCTAAACAGAAGAAAATCAGTATTATCAATTGAATTTTACAGGTTTAGAATAAATTTAGGTGTGAACACTAACGTTCAGTGCATACAACTACAATCTATGTCGATTTTTACAAGACTTTTGGTAGTTTCGTATAACAACGATATACTTGTTTAGTCTCATATCTTATCTTACATGTTTCATTTACTTTATTACTAAATAAAACTTACATAAATCATTGCATTAGGAAAAGACCAAGAACATATACGACAATAGACCTGTTGTAGTAAGTTTTATTATTTCCTTCTTTTTAATTGTAGATAATTATAAGTACTCTTTAAAGGATTGAAAATATCTTATCCAACACTATTTATTTACAGTAGTGTTGTATTAATTATTATTACTAAGAAAATACTGATTCTTATATGACATTTACATTCTAATACCTTATGTTGTTGTAGCTATGCTACTTTCATAGGATACTTTCTTGTTATCCGACTTATTAAAGAAAACTCTATGGTTACAAGAAAAATAACTATAAGTGTGGTGTATTTTTTTTGGATCAATTTATGCTTCACAATAATCAAAACCTTGTGATAAATGTTTATTTAAAAATGATATGTAAACCATAACTTTTTAAATACCTTTAATAGTTTTTTAAACATTGTAACCATTTAATATTAACTTAATCCTTCCCATAAATGGGTGTAGTTATCTTTAGTTCTTTTCAATATATATGTTATTATTATTATTGATTACCATTACAATATTAATCCGATAAAATTGTTTCATTTAAGATTTATAATATCTAATAAACCGGCATCCAACGGTGTTAATGTCTAACTTCAACCAACCCACGAAGTTGCGCCACCGTACACCATTGTCTTCAGTGAGTTGTTATCTCACAACAGACCGGTTGAACTCGACTGGTAACGGCTTCTCACTAGAACTCCATGAGTTTTTCCTGAAGTCAGTCACTAGTGAGCAGTTGATTATAATCAGAATGGTGCGGGATCGTGGATGCGCACTGCTGAGGAGTCCCATACCAGGACGAAACGGCCGTCCAGTGCTTCCAGGTTTTCAATGGTGGTCTAGCTTCAACTGACTCATGATTTCAACTTGTGAAATTTCTTAAACTCTCCACAAAAAACCCATTCTGATATCTAATAAAATGAAAGTAAATAATCTACTTAACTAAATACCGACTTACCACATTTAAAACAAAATGGTGCAAAAAGTACTTGAAAATCATATTTGCAATATCTTCGACCTTCAAACTAAAATTATTGAGAGAATTAATGATTAGAAATGAAACTCAATTAATATTTGTGATAACATAAAACTTTCTAAATTAATATTCTAGTTAGATAAGTTGTTTATATCAGTAATTTACTGGAAAGTTTTTCTGTTTAAAGCTGATTTGTATCATGAATAAAAGTTCGCTAGAAAACCAATTAACAAATGTGTGATTAGTATGGGGATTTTTAGAGATTGTATAATTTTCACAGTGACCTTGAGGGTAGCGTTCGTAAGAATGGCCGAAAATTCTAATTGTAGGTCCTGCGTACGGTATTGTGGATGTTCACTGTTGAGTAGTCCCATACTAGAACAAAATGGCTGCACAGTGCTCCAGCCTGAATCGATTCGTAAATTCAGCTGTAAAAAAGTTATATAGTCATCAGGTAATTGCCGAGTTCCAGTTTAAAAAAATACAAATCATTCATTATCGTGACAGAAATTGAAATAGAGCTCAGCCACTTCAGATCTTTCAATAAATAATGTAGTGTTTGAAGTCATAATTGCTAATTTTAGTCAGTTTTCATGTCGGTACAACATCGTCTAATATTCTTTGTGGGTGACAGGTTTATGTGAACTACATACAAATTACTGGTTTTCTTCCTGTGAGAAGCTCATTGATTTGCATTGTTTTGGATTATTACGTTATTACTTCCAAGATTTATTCTAAAACGTATCCGAAAAATAAGTAAAACTTTTAGCAGAACTAAAATTTTATCATTTATACCTAGATCTTTCTTCCACCAACTTATGCAACATGTAACGGATGTGAAATGTCTATTTGCAAGCTAAGTGGAGAGTATACCGGATACCAGTTTCATCTTCAATATTTAGTCATTGTAAAAAAGCAACTTTTAAAATAAATATCTGTATCACTAGTATTTAATTACAAGAAACACCATAACACCATCAGTATATCATAGATTTACTGAATAATATTGAGTATGAATGTTGTTCTCTGGCAAATCTTCTGCTACTTCAACGAACTAAATAACCAAAACATGACCAGATTCATAAATTTAATGTAAGTAATACGTAACTTTGAGATTAACTTACCTCATAAAATTCTTTATTAGATAATGGTTGTAAACACTGAGTACATCTTCATAGTTCAATGTTTGAAGTGAAAAAAAGTGTTGAAGAAAATAAAAATTTCACGAATTAAAAGCATTTTACATGTGAATTAGTGTTGTTCACTCATTTTCTAGAAAAATAAATCTAGTTCACCAGTACCAAATGAGAAAAATTCATTTTGCTTCAAAACATTTTCATCAAATAGATAGACTGGAGATACATAAATAGACCATCTGCAATAAAATTATATTCATGCAATGCGACCAGAAGGGTCAAGTCTATAATCTCTTACAGGTCTTTACTGGATTGTTCAGAAACAGGATAACAACAAGTTAATACACATAAGTGATAAAAGCGTTAAGATCAAACACTACATATCCCTTACCAGTTGTATAACAAATCTATCTGATAGTTAATAAAGTTCATGACTAGGCTGATAAGTTTGGATATGGTCAATGAAAAGCCGAAAACCTTCTAAGAAGTTCAATATTTACAATTTGTAATTTACTAACAGTATGTAGTAAGACATGTTAGTGATGGATCGAACGGATGTTTATTTACCAGTGTTGTCGTATCATCTTACACGGAACGTTTCATAGATTTTCTTTAGATTTTCAACCTATATTTGAACTCACACACTAATTTGTTTGAAGTATAAAGAAGACACTATCGTATAAAATAATGTATTAGTAGCCATTTTTAACTGAATTCTACTTTAGTTTTGTAAATCTCTCGCAGACTGAGAAGCTATACATCACAAGCAACTGATTGACTAAACGCGACCTTATTTAATAGGCCATGTGATGTATCTCTTGTAAAAAGAGCTGAATATACAAATATTATTTAGATCTGAAAGAGTTGAAACAGTATTCTAGAATAATAAACTATGGTTTAGTCCGTAAATCGGAAAATCTTGACTCTATGAATGTTCAGTGTGATGCATTGTGTTTGTTTCGTAGTGTTTTAAAATTTTACATATTAAACAGAAATTCGGTTGTTTTTAGGTATAAGTGGTATTAGCTTTTTGTAAGCTTTGAACTAACATTTATATCTAAAAGAATGTTTATGTAAGATTAAAGTGAACCCCATTGAGACTTATTGCTTTGTGAATATAAACACCATTTGCAAATGATTTCATCTCTATTACATGCCTATGGTGTATCATTAAAAGTTACATATACTACCATACTAATATTTCTGGTGATATTTATACCATAAATAATCCGGAAACAGTTTGTGTTACTTCAAAATAAAACTCATATAACTTGTGTCTCGTCATAAGTAAATATAGAACAATTCATTACATAATTTATTATTTTGCAAGTGGTAATATTCAACAGTAACTAGTTAGTAAACTATGAACTGTTCATGCATTATTTACTGGATGAATCAGTTGCATGTACCTACATCCATATGTCAATAATCCTATAATGCCATATACCTGATGCTTAACTTTTTAAACTGTAAATATGTTTTATAGTTGGCTATTGATTTGATTTTTGCTGTAACTAAGATATTTAATATTTGGATTGTGGCTGGCAGTGAAGTTCAGGACACATGTTTCGTCCAATTTGATACTCTTCGACTAGATGTAACTACATTCCAGAGTCAGTGTTTAAGCCGTTATTCGAAACACGTGACTTGGAAATATTGAGGCGATCCACAATTGAAAGACACTGACTAACTTCAATCCTAAGAATCAATGCGAAGAATAAACAACTAACACAAATGAATTATGATATTTAAAATTGTCAATATTTTTCACAAATAGTTTTGTCAGTTTCTTTAAATGATTGACCTTTCTGTATGGATTTATAGTTCTTAAGTTTTGTTTTATTTTTACATTTTTAATTTATGATCAAGGGACATTTATTACAAAAAAGTTAAACTTACACAAAACATGTCGGATGATAGATGTCATTTTTAACAAAAACGATATTTTCATCTTCAGTGAATGGGTCATCACATCGTTGACAATGAGGTTCTTCAGCAGTATCATGTCTAAATGTTAAAAGATAATAAAAACACATTTTATTATAGTTAGTAACTAAAAATCAAATGTTTATTAGATTCTGATACTCAATAATCGTTCTATCAGAGCCTGTCTCTGACGTAAATATCCTATCTGTTGGATGAAGATGTATTCGTGTTTGTTCACTTTTCATCTACATACAAATATCAGTTTTGCAATTTGCTATACACAACTCGTTTTTATCTAATCAAAAGAATGTTTTGAAACACTTATTCCGGATTTTTCAGAAATTCCAAATATTCTATAAATGCCGTAATTATACTTTTGTCTGTTTACTAGTAAAAAAGGAGTTAACAACAAAACTACGTATTGATATATGTTCCAACCGTAAAGCCAATTGATTAGATATTTTTTCTTGTGACAGTTATTTTTAAATTGATATCTAGAATAGCCTTACACTTTAGTGACATCCATAAACACTAAACCATAAATATGATGATAAGCAGAGATGGATGATGTCTACCAGTGGAGTCCAGGACACGCAGTATAAATATGATCGCACAACATTAAGGATTACTATAATTTGGTAGAATAACTACCGAGACTGCTACTGCTTATATTTCGGTTACAATTGTAATAAGGAAACTGTAAAGCTTTCCTATTGAGGCATATTCATGGAATTTATTTTATCAAGAAAAGCTTTACGAAAACTGATTACTTTTAATTCAGTTTATTTCCAGATTCCTAGTCGGCTAAGTAACTATGTCTGGATAATTGAGACACGAAGTATGGTCAACTTGTTTGAACTGGCATACTATGACAATGGTAAAATTGTGAGTAAAAGCGAAAGAAATATGGGGAATCACTGAAGAAAATAAAGATGTTGTGACGAAGAAATTTTTCTTCAAGACATTTCCAGTTACTAGAACACACAGGCGTATTTATATTTATATTTTTACATCTAGTGGCTCATAATAAAATAGAGAATTGTAGCGTCGTTATTAAATGTACTGCTAAAGATTCAACAGTAAAACGATTGACTGATTTCCATTGACCTCCCGAAAACCATGCTCAGGAGTGATTGAATATAAGTTCAGAAAGAGCACACTTATGCAAACAATAATTTATGCTCCCCAGATGCAGGTTAACTCGACAGATACACATTAGGTTGGGTCAAAATAACAGTTAATCCTTGACAAATTTTCAGATCAAGCATGTTCTACAAAATACCTTCAAGAAAAAGAAATTTTTCTCCAGCAAAACATTTGAGTAATTTAAATCAAATTCGAAAACAAAGAATCTCTCATATTCAAAGCCAAACGAAGTTTTCATAAACTGTTAACATTCTAACGACTTAAATACCTATTTATGCAAATTTTTAAAAAGTCCGGTCATTTATATGTGGGTTGTGAAGCTGAAATAATAGAATGTATTACAACTTCATGAAAACATCACAATTGAAAACATCGTAACTTTAAAAAAAATGATGAATAAAACTAAGATATACGTAAATGTTATTGAAAATTACAACTCTATTTCTTTTCAATAGTTTGATCACGACAAAAGTAATAATGTTTGTAAAAGTGATATATTGGTGACTCCAATGATGTTACACACTTTTTACTAGTACTACTCAATAATAGTTACTGCTCATCATTTCGCTCAAACCGAGGTCTTAACATTTAATCATTTAACCAATGAGTTGAAGTTCAATTATTCATAATTTCACCTGTTGGTTGTTACGCCAAGTCCATATAAATTAGTCTAGCTTCCGGACGGGCCAATTTATCCATTCTTTTTGAGTCGCATTTTGATTTTGTTAATTAATCGCTTATCAACCTTGACTGTTTTTACGTAAGCGTATGTGTGCATGTCTTACTTTACTTATCACATGTCTGTAACTTATTTTTATCTGAATATAAATATCGATTAATGCTTGGTTAAATCGAGTTGATTTACTCAACTTCTCCTCTACACGTCATTTTGTTTCAATTCTCTCTCTCTCCTCTTCGTTACCTTCTCTGCGATTCTCTGACTGTTTGTTCAGATCAACGATTTTATGAAATACACGCATTCAAACTTTATTCTCGTACTTGACTTATTGAGTCCTGTTATTCATTAACGCTAGTTAAGTCGATAATTATAAGTGTGGATTGACAGTATGAAACATCCGATCACGATTATCTCATGATCCAGTTAGAGTCAGATATTTGAGGGCCACTGAAAATTTAGTGGGAAAATGAGGTCGAGTTGTAGAAGATCCATATAGCTTTGTGATATTTTGAATATTTTAGTTACCTATTCGCTTGGTAAAGCAATTTCTACTAATACTGTAACTAATAAATTAAATAAAAAGTCAAAGACATAAAAGACAGATAACTGAAAAAAAAACTCACTAAACTCTTTATCTTATCCTTGTATTTTACAAAATTTAAGGATAACATGAAATAGGACTTTTGAGATAAGCTAATCGGTGTATACCGCTAAGGGAAGAGGATACATGAGATATATCCTTTTAACAAATTGTAATGTTCAGACATCATCCTATCTATCTCGGTTATCAGTGTGCTAGTTGATATTGAAGCAAATAATGACAATGGAAATATTACTCTAAACAATGCAGGGTGATCTATGATATCACTTAATGATATAAATTGAGATTTATTAATACTTGTATGGCTTAAAAATATATTAATAGTAAACTGACCATTTCAGCAGTCTTGAACAACATCTTACACAACATCTTTAAACATACTTAATTCAAAGATCGAATCATAACCATAAGATTTGCATGAAGCAACTCATTTATATATACATAACACTTAATTTGACCCGTAATAAAAAATTACAAAAGATTTCGTAAAATTAACAACTTTTGTGAATCAAAAGCATCTGAAACAAATCTATTTTAATTGATACATTTCTTACCTATAATACATAATTATATACTTATATATTGGAAGGTGAATGTACTAATTTGATTAAAATATCAACCAATCTATTCGGTTTATCTATTAAATACTTATCAAAATGTAACTCACGTTACAATATTTTCATCTTTGTTGTCATTAAATCTGACAGTTACATGATCACTGCTTAACTCCTGCTTGTTTCGCACCTCATGAAGTATTGGTCGTTTATACATAGATATATATTTATATCACAATGTTTATTATTATTAATATTACCAATTTTAGTTTTGTTCTGTAAGTAATAGTGAATTTGAAATAACTTTATCTTGTGATAATCAACTTATAAAAAGTTGTTGTGATTACACAGATACACAGATACATACATATATATGATCTATAAATTTAATGATAATCATTAAATTGACACTGCAAATGATCGATTTTCCTGGATAAAATTTACCTTTTCTTTAAATGGTATGCTACATTATATTATTGTTCACATCATGCATATATATATATATATATATATATATATATATATATATATATATATATCACAGCAAATATTTCAGAGGTACACCATAGTCGACACCCACTCATATTACTTCACATAAAAAATGTCTCTTTCATGTTTAGAGTTGTATAAAAATTTGATAGTTGATAATTATTAATAATGTTTCTTCTTATTCTTGTCCTTTTGGTTGTTTTACTCATTTACATTACAAAGTGAAATATAATAAATAAAAAACTAAAGAAACTTCATTATAAGGAGATTTTGACCTCAACCCTCATTTGTCTTATGGATTAGATCACTTCTTGTTTCACCTACTACTTGGTACTCATTATTTTTATAAGAAATATATGTTATCGATCATACATGTCAGAATATATAGTAAACTTATACGGATACACTATATGACTATACTTACATAAATATTCATAAATCATTTCAATGTTGAGTAGTCTGAAGGGTATGTGTGCTTGAAATTATTGAATAATTACTGATTTCTTTAATATCATAATTCTATTCGATAAAGAAACTAAATTATTTAACTAGAGAGTTTAATCATGCATTTATCTTTAACAAAACTAGACATATGCTTACTAAACCGCTTACTATATATACATTTTATATTGATCACAAAATCAGATGCTAAAAGATTTATGAAGAGCTTTACTATTTACTTTGCATATATTTTTTCAAAGAATTATCTTATTTCAGAAAAAAATAAAGGAATCTCTGATTGAACTTACTAGACATTGTTTTTACTCTATGACTATACTACGCGATAACTGTTTTGATGGAATCTACTATATCTAGCCAGTAATTGTTATTTGTTCCCTAGCTATGTTGAACAGTATTATTAACCATTGAAAATATCTAGTTCACACGTGAATAGTTTATTCGTTGAGCATTAAAACACCACGACCACCTAGAGATTAAACGGGGTATTGGATAGTAACAACATCATAAGGCAAAACCTTTCAATTAATGCAAGGCATTATTGACATTTTGCATTATTGAATCGGATGATCCAATGTAACTAAAGAGAGATAAAAATATTCATCAAGAGGTTTAATTGTTAGTTCTGTCTTCGGTATGTGTAAACTGTTTCAACTTTTCAAATTACATACTGATTCTCAAGACTACACCTACTGACGAATCCAATCTCTATTGAGACGGCTAAACCAATCAATTCTAAGAAACCAATTGCAAAGCAAATATATCTTTGAATATAACAAAGTGTCATTCCATGCGGTTTCAAAAAACATTCCTGTTAGATGTTTCCTTTCAATAAAGTTAATGTTGCATCATAGTATTGTGTACTACTTGGAAACTGTGTAGCATCCGAAGTCATAGCTACCAGTCTGCAGTACAAATCGGATTATACTGATCAAGTTACAGTCTAACTACTAGCGTGATTGACTTGATATTCTGGATGACAGTTTAATGAAGCTATCCTGTTTTCACAGATCACACGTCACCTAAATAACACAGTGGTAAAAGCGTTTCACTGACACACTGAGTCAAACGTTTGCGAATGTATGGACAACCAAAGGTTATTCGACAATTGAATTTAGATCTTATCCATAAGTGAAAAATGTCAAGAAAACGTGAATGAAATTATTTCTCCCAATTACGCCTAACCAAATAAAATTTGTTAATAAACACTTACTTTTGTACTCGTAACATTCGAGTATTTTAATAAATATTAGTTGATGATCTATTTTAGTGAAATATTCAACAAAATATTTATAGTTTGGATGAAATTAAATTTCAATCTAACACAGCTAATTTTACAGTATAACTCAACAAGATTCACTCTAACAAACAATTTAACGTTAGCACTCAATACAATATATGAACAATGTTTATTTTGGCTTCACTCAATGTTTCACGGTCATGTAAATAATAAAGCATACAATAATAAGTTAGTCTAAAATGAATAGCAATTTAATGGTTGAATTCATGAGTCGACTAAAACTTGACCTCTATCGAAAACCTGAAAGCATTAGATGGCCATTTCGCCCTATTTTGAGACTCCTCATCAGTAAGCATCCACGATCCCATCTCGCAGGATTTGAACCCTCGACCTATTGATCTCGCACGCGAACGGTTAACATCCAGACCACTGAGTCGGCTGGCATCCAACGGTTTTAATGTCTAAGTTCAACTAATCCACAAAATTGAGCGATACATCCACCATTGCCTTCAGTGAGTTACTATCTCACAACAGACCTGGTTGAACTTCACTGGTCACTGCTTCTCATTAGAACTCTTGAAGCCAGTTACTAGTGAGCATATAGTGATTAGTAACAGAAGGGGTTTTCTATGGACATTATAGTAATTTTAATAGTTGAGATCGTGAGTCATTTGAAACCTGAAAGTACTGGTTTTGAATCTGATGAGTCAAGTTCATGAATAAGCTCTGCGCCCAATAAACCAAAACATCCATCCAGTACTTCCAAGTTTTCCATAGTGGTTTACTTTCAATGAATTCATGATCTCAATTATTGAAATGACATACCTTATTTATAATCAATATTTAATAAAAATTACATAATCTTCATGTATTTGTTTGTTTTTTATTCTCTTTTTTTTAAATGATCAATGAATTTAAAACAAAAATTTAATTTTTTTTTCTTATTTTTAAAAATACTACTTACAATAAATTCTTATAAAGAGGATTATTTAAATTGAATATTTTAGAATTAATTGAATATTGTTTAAAACGTTTATTGAAAATTTGTTTATTCCATAATGATTTATTATAATTATGTAATAAATGAAATATTGTATCTAAATGTACAATATTATTAATGTATAAATTTGATGAACAATTCACATTGAAATCTGATGGATATTGATTTTTGATAATCATTGGTGAAAATGATAAATAATTATTAAATCTGATATGTTTAGAATGATTATTTTGTATTTTATTATGTAATGAAATCATTGATAATAAATTATTACATCATTCGTAAAATAATGAAAAAAAAACAACAACTTTGTTTTGTTTTAGTTCATGTTTAAATAAATTTTATTTTGTTCAATATTCAATGTATTACAATTTGTTTGTTTAAAATGTTTAATGACATAACGAAGAATAATTACTATGCTGTAAATAATTAGAGATGGATTATTCATTATGAAGGGAATTCTTTGTTCAATGGTTATATTTAAATTTTAAGAAGAAACCAAAAAATCTTCATAAACGTTTTATGCATCAAACTGATTTTCTTTTTTTTCTTTCAGTTTTCTTTTTTCTTTCAGTAAAATATGATTGGTTATTAAATATAATACTGATAATATATACAATGTATTAACTATTAAATGAACTAACTGTTTATTTAATAAAGGTAAAAAAAATAGAAGAACAAAATGAAGAAAACAACAACAACAACAACAAAAAGAAAGAGAATTTCAAATTTATGGGATGATCAATTGTGGAATATATATGTATATATATACTAAGCTTCTTACTTATCTTGTTGCAGAATTATGTTGTTTTGTATAAAATGAAAACTATTTATATTACTATCAATGAAACTAGTAATAAAAAGATATGAATGATATTTATTGTCGGTTCATTTATTTATATTTTGATTTTTTTTTTAGGTTTTTCTTTTTTCTAGAAACAATATTATATATGGGATGGATTTTGGTTACTTTCCTTTTGTATTTACTTCTCATGTAATCAGTCATTGATATCATATGATAAGAATCGGAAATGATTTTATTTTATGCACTTATATCATTGAGTTCTTGTGTATACAGATTTGTGAAGAATTTAGTTTATGTTAGTAATTTTAAAGGATTAATTCATTTTGATTAATCTATTAACCAATAAGTGGCTTATATAATGATTATTATGATTAATGAATTGAAAAATTCAGTAACTTTTAGTTGAAACCATCAATCATTAAAACGAATCAAAATATGATAACAATACTGTGTAATAGTTTAAATAAATGCTTCAACAGTTAAAATGTGACAGAATATTAACCGACAAATGCCTACACAAAGCTACATAAGCCTCATTGGATCAAAGTACTGAGAATTAGATTAATTATATATCTGTAAGTAAAATTTTCAGAAGGTCATGGAAAGCGTGAGAACCAGGAAAGGAGCTGATATAGCTTCATATGACTACCTCATTGTGGCAAAGATGAAACTGAAGCCAAAAAGACACTGGACAAGTGAGAAAACAGCAGTACAAAGGCTAAAAACAGCCTTCTTTCAAGATATTGACAAACTCAACGGATTCAAAATACCACTCATCAACAGGATCCAAGTTTCACAAGATCTTCCGAAAGAAGATGAAAGTACCATGGAGGACAACCGGAAGAAGGATTAAAGGAGCACTAATTTCAACGTGTCAGGAGATGTCGGGTCGCAACAAACATCTTCATGAGGAATGGATATCTATCGAAATCCTGGACATGATTCAGGGAAAAGAAGAACAAGAAAACAGTAATTAACAACAGCTGAACGAGAATAGAAAAAAGTTAATGCACGATGTGAATACATAGAAACAAACAAGCAAGTAAAGAGAGGTACTGGGGTCGACAAGTGGAAGAACGTGGAAGACCTAACAACGACAACGGAAAAAGGTGCAAGAGAATGATACGTCGGATATATCGGATATCGGATTATACTCTACAAACTGAGCAGGTGGAAAAAACCAAAGTATTTTAGTTTCCCAAAGTTCTTGTCAGCTATTGTATATGATTAAGTTAACTTTTCTATCAATTTACCATTTATGACCAATAATGTTAGGTGATCTCGGTAACATAAATTTGAAATTCAAGTAGTTATAATTCAAATCAGTGATGTAAATGCGTCGGGCTCTCTGTGAAGTATGAAGTTCTTGAGTCTAATCACAGGTGTGATGCTGCTTGCCTACTACCGATTAGTTGTAAACTAGGAGAATTATTTATCAGGTGCTCTATCAATTTCAGTATGTGAAGAAAGCTATATTTTACTTTATGTGTTTATAAATTTGTCATCTTCAAAAAACTACTCTAAATAACAAGTGTACCGTACATTATTCCTGAATCATCTATTCTTGTTTCATTGTCATTTTTTCATTCATTGTAATTATATTCACTGATTTATTTCTAGTTAGTTTAGTGTAATCAACATAGAACAAGTTTCTATGACGTATCTGGATCACTAAATAATATTTGAAATTCAAGTTTATCAGATTAAATTCCGGAAACAAACTAATAAGAGAGTATTATCTATTAAGAGGTGCCAGAGACAGAAAAACTTTTAAATCGAGTTACTTGATATAAAACATTATTATCTTTCGTCATAATCAAGTTATCTATTACTTTAGTATTAAGTTATGCTGGTGAAAAACTCTGAAATTAGAGAAAACAGTTTTACTATTAGTTAACAATTTTGATAAGTATCAATAGGAAATTTATTCATCTGCAATTAGAACGGATTATTGAGATGATTGACAATCATTTTTAGTAACCATGGTAATATGTAAACTTACTGTCATACGTATTTAAATCTTTGATAATGAAAATCAGTGTCGTAAAATGTGAATATATTTTAGACTTGAAACATTGTTTCATATAATGTCATGTTGAACCATTTCAATTGTATTAATTATAGTTAATAATTGTTCAATAAAATGCTTTATTACTACTACATGCTTATTACTAATAAAACAAAAATTCATGAGTTCTTGCTAACATTATATCAATAATTCTAAATAATAAACTACTCGCTCAATAAAATTATTTGGACGTGTATTTATTGTTCATTACAATCAGCTTTATAGAACTATACCCTGATTCAGCACTTTTTCTGATGACCCAATTTCAATAATAAAAATGATCTCAGTATTAGTAATTCAATATTCGAAAAATTTGAAAATAAAACCGGATTTTTATTCAGTATCGTTCTTCTGAACTAGTATTTTTAATAGTTGAATTCATGAGTCGATCGAACCTAAACCACAATGGATAACCTGGAAGCGCTCGATGGCCGTGTCGTCCTAGTATCGGACTCCTCAGAAATGAGCATCCACAATCTTGCCTGTGTGTTTCGAACCCAGTGCCTATCGGCATCGCATGCGAACGCTTAACATCCAGACCACTGAGCCGGCATCAACCGGTGTTAATGTCTAACTTCAACCGATCCACGAAATTGAGTCTCTGTTCACCATTGTCTTCAGTAAGTTACTGTCTCACAATAGACCCGAGTGAACTTCACTGGTCACTAATATTTTGTTAAGAAAAAATTATTCCAACAATAGTTTCATGGATACAACATAAAATAGAACATTCTTCTAATTGGACTTTTCAACCAATGTTTTGAATTATTCGCTAGTTTATTCAATATTTAAAAAATCTTCCAAAATAATATATAACTTTATTAGAACAATTAGAAGTGTCACGTTCTCTACATCATGAAATTGTTGCCTAGGCGCCTTACCATAAACTATTTCGGTACAAATTCAAAGTAAACTTGAAAGTCAGATGTATATTTATCCGGCGACATTTCTGTAAAAGTACATAACTCTTAAATTATTTAATTAGATCTTTTACCTAAAAAAACATCATTTGTGTATTTATTTTCATTTTCTTATTAACAAAATTTCTTTCAATCTGTTGCCAAACAAACTTGTGTTCGTAATCCATTAAGTTAACATTTTGTAAAAGAAACGTAAACAGATTTTTGATCATGTTAATAAAGTAACCACAGTGGAAAACCTCATTTCATTATCAATAAGATGTTAAGAGCGATGCACTACAGAAGAGTTCATGTAAATGCTTCATATTCATTGCTTTAAACAAAACAAAAGTTCATTATCTGACAATTTTTTTCCAAAAATTTAGATCATTCCAACTTCAAATGGTTATTGAATATAAGTTGTAGGGTTATAAAACAAGCAAATGAAACATGTAATCTGTTTTGAAACGGCGGCTAACCAATATGTTGAGGCTAATGTCCTCAATATCTGACTCCAATAAATAATATCCCCGTAAACTGAGTATTTAAGGTAGGCTTAATCTCCTAGTAGAATTACGGATCTACTCGAGATTATTCAGAAGCCTAAACACCAGTTGTAGAGATAATTTATTGTTAATGATTAATAAAAATCCGCAAGCGTACAGCAACTAAACACACGGTGAAGCCAAGTAAAAATGACACACAGGGAAGATGGCTGGGAAGCCAACTCCATTTTAGCCAAGCGTTACTCAATATTTATAGTCAAACAAAGTAAAGCTACAGACATGTGACTAATGGGATAAGAAGGGCATACACATATACGCTCATAAAAAAACAGTGAAGACTGATAAGCGAATAAATAACAAGGTCAAAGTATGGCTCAAGTAGAATGAATAAAATTGGATGTCTGAAAGCTAGAATAAGGTATATGGGCTTGGTATAATAACTGACACTACCGTTTTATTCAATTAGAGAATTTAGTTTGTTATTTCATTTGAAATCTAAAATAATCTAGTCATATATACGTAAATAGTTAAGTCACTTCTTTCAAGATTCATCTTATGATTTAGTTCATGCTTTCTTTTATACCAGAAGTTGTAAATGATATTAGTGATGAAGTGTTTTTAGTCGAAAACCAGGAAAATGCGTATTATATATATATCCTTCTATTTTCCACTTTCTTCTCAAAAAAATATTTGGCGCTTTCCTTGAAAATTTATATTAGTAATTTGTATTCAAAGCAAATATAATTTATACTTTGTTTATATATGATGCTTTGCACACAGTATAAAATATAAAGTAATTCTTCTAAATTACGTCGGTTCCAACATATTTAGTATCATTCAATAAATTTTAAAAGATTTAAAACAACTAATTATTCAGTATAAAGTATGGAAAATTTGGAACAACGATAGAATAAGAGATCACAATTTCTAAAGTTGTACATGAGTTTCAGGCTTGAATAGTTTGATTGATCAATCTTCC